CGGTACGAGCTGCGGTACGAGCTGCGGTACGAACTGCGGTACGAACTGCGGTACGAGCTGCGGTACGAGCTGCGGTACGAGCTGCGGTACAGTGTCTTCCTCTGGGATCCACTGTATCAGCTCAAGCTAGTATCCCATGCTCTGATCGAACTCTTCACGCTCCATGGGCTCCTGTCCACACCCATGCTAGGAAGAGGTGACTTTTGAGCTGACTCAAAAGTCACCTACTATCCCATGTTCTTGTGAACTCATCGTGCTCCATGGGCTCTTGTCCACACCCATGCTAGGCGGAATGGAGCACAGTGGTTGACGGACCAGCGCCGATCCCCCCCCATTTCCAACCCCAATCACACCCCTCCCCCCCCCCTCACCCCCCTTTTTCCCCCCTTCTCCCCTCTTCTCCCCCCTTCTCCCCTCTTCTCCCCTTTTCTCCCCTCTTCTCCCCCCTTCTCCCCTTCTCCCTTCTTCCCCCCAATCACACCCCCTTCCCCCCCCTTCCCCCACTCTTTCCCCCTTCTCCCCCCTTCTCTCCCCCTCTCCCCTTCTCCCTTCTTCCCCCCAATCACACCCACTTCCGCCCCCCCTCTCCTTGCAGCACATGGACCGGTTTGACCAGGCAATGAATGCCCTGGACGAGAAGTACCACTTCCTGGCTGCAGACCACCAGATTGTGTCCAGCGCAGACGAGAAGGATCGGGTGAGTATTCAGTGAAGTGTCGATTAGCGTGAGGGCAGAGATCCAGCTAGCGCGGATGAGAAGGGTCGGGTCAGTGTCCAGTGAAGTGCAGAGGAGCACGGCGAGAGTGTGCTGTCTGGTGTGTGTGGCACCTAGGGTCCACACATGCGATCCAGCCAGCGCGGATGAGAAGGACCCGGGCGAGTGTTCAGTGAAGTGCAGACGAGCACGGTAGGAGGAGTGTGCTGGCTGGAGCGTGTGGCATCACAGGGTGCCCAGTGAAGTGCAGACCATCAGAAGTACCACTTTCTGGCTGCCGACCATTGGATCGTGCCCAGCGCGGACGAGAATGATTGGGTGAGTGTTCAGTGAAGTGCAGATTTGCGTGAGGGCAGAGATCCAGCCAGCGGGGATGAGAAGGTCCGGGTGAGTGTGTAGGCGTTAGTGGTGAGTGTGGCATCTTGGGCCCACCACACATTAGATGGTGTTCAGCGTTGACAAGAAGGAATGGGTGAGTGTCCATTGACGCGCAGACGAGGGTGGGAGGTGCCTCTCGAGCGCTCCCACCTCCCACCAGCATGGCAGGACGAGTGTGTGTGGCATTGAATGGCGTCTAGTGACTTGCAGGCCATCAGAAGCTGCACTTCCTTGCCGCGGACCATTCAATTGTATCCAGTGCGGATGGGCGTGAAAGGGTGGGTGTGTAATCTCTAGCCGTGTGTCTGGCATCTAGGGTCCACACACCGGATCGTGTCCAGCGCAGATGGGAGGGACCGGGTGAGTGAGTGCCGAATGCAGAAGAGAATGGCAGGGGGAGTGTGCGGCGGGCGGCTGTGCCATCTAGTGCATGTGCTGTCCAGTGTGTGTGGCATCACATGGTGTCCAGTCCAGGGCAGCATCATGTCCTTGCCTCCGACCATCAGATCATGTCTAGTGCTGCTGACGCGAATGAGAGGGTGCAGATGAGCATGAGAGGGCAAGTGTGTGGTTCCTGCCCCTCCCTCCTCCCTGGTTCACCCGTACCCGCTTGGCAGGTCATTGTGTTTGAGAGGGGCGATCTTCTCTTCGTCTTCAACTTGCATCCCACCAAAACCTACGAGGGGTGAGTCTCTAGCTGCGCTTGCCACCCTTCCCCCTCCGCCCCCCCCCCACCCCCCGTTCCACTCTCTTCACCTTCCACTTGCATCCGGCCAAAACCTACAAAGGTGGGTCTTTTGTTTCATTTCTGTGGTTGCCTATTCGACCATGATTCGTTTTATGGAACTGCGTCTGGCCCGTTGTGATTGCTCGCCTCCCTTCCCCCTTCCCTTCCCCTTCTCTTCCCCTTCTCTTCCCCTTCTCTTCCCCTGGCACCCGCTGCAGCTACGAGGTGGGGTGCAAGGAGCCCGGCAAGTGGCAAGTGGTGCTTCTGCATGTCACTTCCTCCTTTCCCCTGCTCTTTGCTACCCAAACCCTCCGTTCTTTTCGCCCTCTCCCGCCCGCTGCAGCTACAAGGTGGGATGCAAAGAACCCGGCAAGTGGCGAGTGGTTCTGGACAGTGATGCTCTTGATTTTGGGGGCAGAGGGCGGGTGAGTCTGGGGGCAAAGGGCGGGTAATTCTGGGGGCTAAGGGCGGGTAAGTCTGGGGGAGGGGTACACGATGAGGCGGGGCTTGTGGCCACGGTCTCACCATGCACCGTCATGTTTTTTGCCGAGGACAGCATGCATTCTGTGTGCATGCCCATGTGTGTGTCAGCCGATTCCCAATGGCTCCTCCTTGCACTACAATTGCTTGTCTTGTATATTCCCTGCACTGTCTACACTCCCTCCTCACTCTCCTCCCTCCTTCCTTTCAGTAACTTGTTTTCCCGCACGATTATTCTCTTCTCACTTTGTGTTCCCTTTCGTTTCGCTTTCTTTTTTCTCATGCCCTGCCGAGAACAGGTAGGCCATGACGTCGACCACTTCACGTCACCCGAGGGGATCCCGGGTCGCCCGGAAACAAACTTCAACAACCGCTGCTGCTCCCTCCTCGTTCTCTCTCCTTCCAGAACCTGCCAGGTAAGCTACTCTCTAGCACATGCCAGATAAGCCACTCACTCGCACACGCCAGGTAAGCCTCTCGCTCACACACGCCAGGTAAGCCACCCACTAGCACATGCCAGGTAAGCCACGCATTTTATCATGCAAGCAAGCCACCCCCTAAAGCGCTACACATGCCAAGCGACAGTGCAGATATTCTGGACCTTGAAACTACATAGGTGCCTCTCTCATTGTGCTCATTGGACCCCTTAAAAATCTTTAGTCCCTCTTCTAGTGGGCTCTCTCCCCCTCGAAAGAAGGAAGAACCTCCTCCCACTATACCTCTAGTGAAAGGCCGTATCTACAATTGCTTCTTCTTTTTTGGCATTCCTATAACGCCTTCATGTGGCAGGTGTATGCCCGAGTCAAGGAGGACGAACCTCCAGCCACACTTCCTTCAGCTAAGACCGGGCTCAAGTCAATTGTGCCCCGAAGTCCACTTCACCTGGAGTAAGCTTACACCACCGTGGATGGCAATTGGCCATCGTGTTTGGACAATCAGTGCCAAACTACAATAATTTGTACATTACAGACACCTTCGTGAGTTGTGTAAACTGCTACATCAAATTTGTCACCTTTGTGCTTTTTTTGACTGTGTATCCTAAATGTGTTGTTACTGACTCGACAATTGTACGCGATGTTAGACGCAATGAATTTTGCGACACACGTTGTAACCACAACTCTTATATGACAGCTCAAGGACCGTCGTAGCCGCAAACAACGGGCTGACGAAGTGGTAACGCAGGCGTGCGAAGAGCAGGTTTCCGAATCTGTGGCATGTATCATCCCGAGGGAGCACTAGGTAATGTCAGAAGCCAACCTCCCCTGACACCGAGCAAATCTGTCAGACAGATCAGCCCAGGCCCCAGGATGCAGTGTCAGAAGGCCTACTTAGCACCTGAATCTTATCTGACGATGATCATCCCTAGGCTTTCACGGGGAAGAAATGTCAGAAGCTGATCCCGCGCAACGGAAAGCATAATCGAGAAATTTATTGACTGCCGAGAGGTCTAGCTAATAGCATAAGCGGCGGAGCCGTTTCATTTTAGGCAAAATGGCCTCCGCATCGGGCTCCTCTTCCGCCTCATCCTCAACCATTTCCGCCTCCGCGGGGGCTTCCGCTTCCGCCTCCTCGTCGCTCGCCGCGGGGCTTGCGCGCAAGTTGCGGAAGGTCCTCGACACGCGCACGGATTCCCCCGAGCTTCTAGCAGCGCTTGGCGCGCTCTCTTGCTTCTATCGTGAAAACTCGCTTTCCAATCGGCGCGCTTTAAAGTCCACTATCGAGCGGAGAGGATTGGCTATCAACCAGGAATTCCTTCAGGCGTCAGAAGCTGCTCAGAAGGTACCAGATGGTGTTTTTGAGACGAATGAAGAGTCCTTAATATGACAGAATCTGCTGTTCCTGGCAGCAGCAAGCCATGGCGACCATTGCGAGTCACATTAGGGAGTCCTCGTTGACATACCCGAGCCATGTATCAGTAACGGTCATGGGGACTGTATCGAGACGAGTGATGGTGACAATAGCGAGTCATGGTGACAGTGGCTTTTGTCAGACCCGCATATTGTGCTCATAATGGGAGTTTAGCGAGACTCCCACTTGTCTTCCTCCAGTTAACATGATGTGCTTCATATCCCCCTACTTCCTCCTACATCATCTCCCCCCCTCCCCCCACGTCCCCGCCCTTCCCCTCCCATGCAGGCACTGGATGTGGTGGAGGCGGAGGTGCGGGGCCTTGCAGAGTGCTGCGACAGGTGAGGCAGAGTGCTGCGACAGGTGAGGCAGAGTGCTGCGACAGGTGAGGCCTTGCAGAGTGCTGCGACAGGTGAGGCAGAGTGCTGCGACAGGTGAGGCCTTGCAGAGTGCTGCGACAGGTGAGGCCTTGCAGAGTGCTGCGACAGGAGAGGCCTTGCAGAGTGTTGTGACAGGTGAGACCTTGCAGAGTGTTGTGACAGGTGAGACCTTGCAGAGTGTTGTGACAGGTGAGACCTTGCAGAGTGTTGTGACAGGTGAGACCTTGCAGAGTGTTGTGACAGGTGAGACCTTGCAGAGTGTTGTGACAGGTGAGACCTTGCAGAGTGTTGTGACAGGTGAGACCTTGCAGAGTGTTGTGACAGGTGAGACCTTGCAGAGTGTTGTGACAGGTGAGACCTTGCAGAGTGTTGTGACAGGTGAGACCTTGCAGAGTGTTGTGATTGGTGAGACCGGGAGAGAAGGGGCATTTGCTTGCATCTGGTATCGTTCCTTGCCCTTCCCCACGTGTCTCCCACATGCGCTTGCATGTGCGCTCGAGCGCGCACACACACACGCACATGCACAGACACACATATGCACATGCACATGTGCATGCACACACACAAGGGCACACACATGCACACATGTGCGCACACACAGACACTTGAAACATACAACAAACAGACGCGCAAGCACACCTCCACACACTTACATCCTCGCAAGCACTTGTCTCCCCATCTCTAGAATCGGCAAGGCACCGGCCAGATGTGCTTTAACAACAGGCGACAGCTTTTGAGTCGACTCAAAGGCACCAGCCACATGTGCTTTAACAACGGGCGACATGGTGCTGGCACCAGAGAGGCTCAAGCACGAGCTGGTTACCACCTGCACTGCACCCACACGCTCACATGTTGACCTTTTCCCTCTTCACCACCAGAATTGGCGGAGCACTGACCACGTGTGCGTCAACCACGGGAGACATGGTGCTGGCAACAGAGAGGCTCAAACACGAGCTGGTTACCACCCCCACCCACATGCAAACAAGTGGACCCTTTCCCTCTTAACCACCAGAATTGGCGGAGCACTGACCACATGTGCGTCAACCACGGGAGACATGGTGCTGGCAACAGAGAGGCTCAAACACGAGCTGGTTACCACCGTGCGCAGGCAGCAACTAGTGGCGTCATTCCTCAATAGCTACCAGCTTTCGCCACAGGAGGTGAGTGCCTCGTAGGTAACCCAATACATGGTTACCAGCTACCAGCTATCGGTGCTGACAACAGAGAGACCCGAGAATGACCTGGATACCACATTGAACCCCTGGGCAAAAGCAGCAGTTAGTCGCATCCTTCCTCAGGAGCCTTCCAACTTTCGCCACAGGAGGTGAGTGCTGTGGTACTGAAGATATGGTTACCAGCTAACAGCGAGGCTCAAGCACGAGCTGGTTACCAACCACCGAACGTCGACAGCAACTGGTGGCGTCTTTCCTCAGAAGCTACCAGCTATCGCCACAAGAGGCGAGTGGCTTGAAGCACGAGCTGGTTACCACCACGAGCTGGTTACCACTGTGCAGCAGCAACAGGTGGTTGTTTGCAGCCTTCCTTTGGAGCTACCATGGCCACAGGAGGTGGGTGTATGACATCCTGTGCTTTCATGCCCATCTTTTTGCCTTATTTTGCTTATCATACCCCAATCATCTTCCTTGTTTCCTCCTCTCCTCTTGCTCCCAACCTGCCTCATATCGCCTCAGGTGCAAGCCCTTCGGGAGGACGAGATCGGCGAGTGGTTCTTTGAGGCGCTAAACCGCGTGCATGACATCCATGCCAGCTGCAAGCTGCTGCTGCTACTACTTCCCCTTCATCTTTCCTTCTTTCTTTCTCTCGCCCCTTCCTCGAAGGTGCAAGCATTGAGAGAGGACGAGATCAGTGAGCGGTTCTTTGAGGCGCTGAACCGCGTGCATGACATCCACGCCAACTGCAAGCTGCTGCTGCGCACCCACCACCAGGTAGGAATCTACTTTGCTGTCTCATTTTGTGGGTGAAAGCCAATTCCTCGCCCTAAGTGGCTGAGCCTCCCACCTTCCATGTGTTGTTTGCACACGTGCATTGAGCCACAGCTCTTTACTTCCCCCTGTCAACTTCTCCCCTTCCCCACCTCCCTTCAGAGGGCTGGCTTGGAACTCATGGATCTGATGGCCGTGTACCAGGAGGGCGCGTACGAGAGACTGTGCAGGTAAGCTCATGGGAGACTGATGGCCGTGTACGAGGAGGGTGCGTACGAGAGGCTGTGCAGGTGGGAGAGTGGGGAGAGTGTGTCGGTAGGGATTATTGTCAGGGTTTAGCCTTTAGTGTGTAGGCAGGTGCTAAGGGTGCGAGCTCGTGGGCCTGATGGCCGTATGCCAGGAGGGGCGTATGTGAGACTGTGCAGGTAGGCTCACGGGGAGACTGTGCAGGTACGCTTATAGAAGGGGATTGTGTAGATAGGCTCTCAAAAGCTGAGCTCATGGATCTGATGGCAATGCACCAAGAGGAGACTTACGCGAAACTATGCAGGTAAGCCTGTCCCCTCCCTCCCCCTCTCTCCCTCTCTTTCCCCCCGACCCCCCCTCCATCGCCCCCCGCCCTCCGGCTTGATATCCTGCAGGCGGAGTGTCGCAGTCTGGGTGACAGCGACGGCGAGACACGCAGGAAGTTGGTTCCCTGCTGCGCACGGCAGCCCATGTAGCCCCACTTTTCCCCTGCCCCCTTCCCCCTCCCCCCTCTTCCCCTCCGCATCCCCCCTGCCCCCTTTCCCCTCCCCTTTTCCCCCTCCTCCCGTCCCTTGCCTCCCCCTTCCCTTCCCCAGGTGGGTGCAGAGTGTCACAGGCTGGGCAACAGGGATGGGGACAGACAAACCGGAAGTCGGTTCTCTGCTGCGCACCAAGCACACACTTTGCCTCTCCCCTACTTTCCGGTTTGTTCCCCCCCCCCCCCTCCCCTCCCCAGGTGGGTGCAGGCGGAGTGTTGCAGCCTGGGCGACAGCGATGAACCTGAGGACACGCTGGAAGTGGGTTCTCTGCTGCTCGTTTTGAGGCGCCTCAAAACTGCACTGCAGCCTGTGTAACCCCACCCTTCCCTTGCGCCCTCCCCCACCTTTCCTCCAGGTGGGTGCAGGCGGAGTGCCGCAGCCTTGGCGACAGCGACGGGGACACACCGGAAGTCGGCTCTCTTTTGCGCACGGCAGCACATTGCCTCAAGGACCGACCTGTGCTCTTCCGCTACTGCACTGAAGAGGTACTGTGCGGTAATGTGTGGTAGTATGTGGTAATGTGTGGTGATCTGTGACAACGTATGGTGACCTCATAGACAGTGGTCAACCCTTCGCTGCTCACAGTGGCGCGTTGCCTCAATGGTCAACACTGCGACGCATTGCTTCAAGGACTGACCTGTGCTCGTCCGCTACTGCATTGAGGAGGTAGAGAGTCGTAATGCGTGACAGTGGATGTTATTGTGTGGTTATGTATAATATTGTGTGGTAGTGTGTGATAATGTGTGGTAATGTGTAATACTGTGTGGTAATGTGTGATCGTACGTGGTGATGCGTGGTAATGTATGGTGACCTAATAGGCTATGGTCAACCCTTCACGTCACTGGGCAATGCAGCGTATGCCTCAAGCACCGACCCGTGCTCTTCCGTTATTGCGCTGAGCAGGCAAGCTCAGGTGATCCGGCCAAGTGCCTGTTGCCCCTTGCGTTAGTGCAGAGGAGGTAAGTGAAGGTACTGGCGTGTCAGACTCTTCTCGCCCCACCCTTGGTGGTCAACACTCGATTTAACGACTGCTCCACCTGCCATCCATTCCGGTGGTTAACACATGTTGGTCTGTCACTTCATTTGCCACCGCTTCATAGCTGCTCTCATTTCCTCTTTCCCCCCCCCCTTCACCAACCCCCCCCTTCAGGTAGCCAACACGCGCCACAATGCCTTGTTTCGCCGCTTCATAGCTGCTCTCACTCGTGGTGGCCCGGGCGGCATGCCTCGTCCCATTGAGGTGCATGCGCACGACCCGCTGCGATACGTGGGCGACATGCTGGCATGGCTGCACCAGGTGAGAAATGCTGACGTGGCTGCTCCAGGTTGGTGGATCAAGTGGTGAACTTACTTATTTGTGTAATGTTGGGATGGCATTTTAGATAGGGATTTTCATCCGCTGCGATACGTGAACGACACGCTGGCATCGATGCACCAAGTTCGACATGCTGACGTGGCTACGCCAGGTGAGACATGCTGACGTGGCTCCCTCCCTCCCCCTCTTTTCCCCATCTCTCAGGCGCTAACATCAGAAAAAGAACTAGCGGTGGCTTTAGAGTTGACTCAAAAGTCTACCTCCCTTCTTTCCCCCTCTCCCAGGCACTAGCTTCAGAAAAGGAACTAGCGGTGGCTCTATTCGGCAGCACAGACAAGCCGCCTTCCACGTCAGCAGCATCAGGGCCAGCAGGGAGGGGAGGAGGAGGGGGAGAGGGGGTAGCAGGGGCGGGGGGCGTGGACGCTGACGTGGCGGCGGTGCTGGACCGGGTGTTTGAGGGCGTGTGCCGACCGTTCAAAGTGCGTGTGGAGCAGGTGCTGACGGGGCAGCCAGGCCTCGTGCTGTGCTACAAGCTCTCGAGTCTCCTCTCCTTCTACTGCCACACCGTGAGTGTTTGAATGCATGTTCCCTTAGGTTAGGTGTGCCTGAACCACTGGGTTATTCCCCTCTTATTGTCCACTGAGTATTGGAGTGCATGCATCTGCCGTTTTCAAAGTGCTGACGGGACAGCCGGGCCTCGTGCTGTGCTACAAGCTCTCCAGCCTGCTCTCCTTCTACTGCCACACTGTGAGTGCTTGAAGGCATGTGTTGGCCGAAAGTGAGCCTGAAACGCTGAGTCTCTTGTTTACATGGTGAGAGTGTGAGGGCGTGTGCCTGCTACCCAGGTGTGAGGAGTCTATTTTTGAGGTGCCTCAAAAATAGACTCGTCACGTGTGTGAGGGCGTGTGCCTGCTATTCAGGTGACCTTCGTGCTGTGCTACACGCTCTCCAGCCTGCTCTCCTACTGCCACACTGAGTTGCTCCCCTCTTATTGTCACACTGTGAATTGCTCTCCTCTTATTGTCACACTCTGAGTTGCTCTCCTCTTATTGTCACACTGTGAGTTGCTCTCCTCTTATTGTCACACTGTGAGTTCTTCTCCTCTTATTGTCACACTGTGAGTTGCACTTCCACCTGCTATGCCAGCGACCGCTCTCCAACCAACCTGATCCCCTCTCTCCCCTTACCCTACTCTCTCTCCCCTTACCCTACTCTCTCTCCCATTACCCTACTCTCTCTCCCCTTACCCTACTCTCCCTCCCCTTACCCTACTCTCTCTCCCCTTACCCTACTCTCCCTCCCCTTACCCTACTCTCTCTCCCCTTACCCTACTCTCCCTCCCCTTACCCTACTCCCTCTCCCCTTACCCTACTCTCTCTCCCCTTACCCTACTCTCTCTCCCCTTACCCTACTCTCCCTCCCCTTACCCTACTCCCTCTCCCCTTTCCCTACTCTCTCTCCCCTTACCTTACTCTCTCTCCCCTTACCCTACTCTCCCTCCCCCCAGCGCTGCGCTGTGCCCAGATCGCAGAGTTACTGGGTGAGTCAGCAGCCCGGTGTGTTGTTCTGAGGGATCTGAGTGAGGCAGCAGGGAGGGCGTTCCTCAGAAGCAGTCAAGCTGAGGGGAGGCCGCGTGCTGCGCTTCCCCCGTTCCGGGTCCAGCACCTTCGCACCCTCTCACGCCCCCCAATTCCCCTTTCTCCCCCCCCCAATCTCTTCTCAGATTGCCCAGCTCTTGGGAGAATCAGCAGCTCTCTGCATCGTCTTGCTAGACTAGGCAGCAGGGAGGGCGTTCCTAGATGCAGTGAAACTGAGGGTTTAGGGTTTCAACCGACCGAGTGCTGCGCTTCCCCCCTGCTGGGTGTAGTGACTTCTCAAACCCCTCTCACTCCTCCCCAACCCCCAACTCCCCACCGACCGCCTCTCAGATTGCTGAGCTCTTGGGAGAATCAGCTGCTCTCTGCGTGGTTCTGAGGGATCTGAGCGAGGCAGCAGGGAGGGCGTTCCTGGACGCCGTGAAGCTGAGGGGAGACCGCGTGCTGCGCTTCCCCCCTGCAGTCCCCACTGACCTCTCCCCCCCGCCCCTGGTGGGCGAGGGGGTGGCGGTGGTGCTGGAGCTGGTGCACGCGCATGCGAGCATGATGGTGCCGGCTGGGGCTGGCAAGCCGGACTTTCTACCCGTTGCTGCAGCTCTGCTGGATCCCCTTGTGGAGGTGAGTGCTTTCCCCTCTCCTGCTCACAGCTAGCGGGGGAGGGGGTGGCGGTGGTGCTGGAGCTGGTGCACGCGCATGCCAGCATGATGGTGCCGGCCGGGGCTGGCAAGCCCGACTTCCTGCCTGTTGCTGCTGCTCTGCTGAATCCCGTTGTGGAGGTGAGTGCTCTGCCCTGCTGTCCCCCACAGGCCTCTTCTGCTCTCCCCTGCTGTCTCCACTGTTCCCTTCCCCCTTCCCTTGCCTCTGGTGGGCGAGGGAGTGGCGGCGGTGCTGGAGCTGGTGCAGGCGCATGCAAGCATGATGGTGCCGGCTGGGCCGCGCCTCATACGTGCTGCTCCCACCCTTTTCCCACCCCACCCTACCTAAATCCCGCAGGTGTGCACACGGGCAGCGCAGACCCTAACAGCAAAAGTCGTCTCCGCCCTCTCCTCTGGATGCTCTTCTCTCCCGCGCCGGGCCTCTGCTGCCACCACTCTGGGCAGCGCTGCAGCAGGCGCAGGGGGCGAGAGTGGGGCGCTGGGAAGGCGGGGGTCACTGCCCTTGAGCCGGCGGTCCACTGAAGGGGAGGCAGATGGGGTGGAGAACACGGTGAGTGGTTGATTTGAGTGGGAGTGTTCTCAGCGTGGCTTATGAGCTGACCCGCCGTGCCACTGCTGCGACCACGCTGGGCAGCGCTGCAGCAGGCGCGGGGGGCGAGAGTGGGGCGCTGGGAAGGCGGGGGTCACTGCCCTTGAGCCGGCGGTCCACTGAAGGGGAGGCAGATGGGGTGGAGAACACGGTGAGTGGTTGATTTGAGTCGGAGTGTTCTCAGCGTGGCTTATGAGCTGACCCGCGGCGCCTCTGCTGCGACCACGCTGGGCAGCGCTGCAGCAGGCACGGGGGGCGAGAGTGGGGCGCTGGGAAGGTGGGGTTGCTGCTCTTGAACCGGCTGTCCACTGAAGGGGAGGCAGATGGGGTGGAGAACACAGTGAGTGGTTCAGAGGGGTTAGATGGGGTGGAGAACACGAAGAGTGGTTTGGAGGGGGCAGATGGGGCGGAGCACACGGCGAGTGTTAAGACGCTGAGAATGCGTTGAGCGTGCGTGGTGCTCCGTGCATGGAGAATGCATTCTTGAGTCATTCTTATTTTTAGTCGACTCAAGAATGACCCACCACGGATGGGGAGGCAGACGGGGTGGAGGCCACGATGATGAGTGGTTGCTTTGAGTGGGAGTGTTCTCAGTGTAACTTATGAGTTGACCTGAAGGGGGGTCAACTCATGGGAGGAAAAGGGGCCACTGCACTTAAAGCCGCGGTACACATTCACTTCAACTTGTTTCAAGTGATAAACATTTGAAACAGTGGTAACTGAGTGATGCCTGCTGGAGGTGGCGTCTCGCTACCTGCACATAAACATTTGAGGGGGGGATTGTGGCATTTGTGTACTGAAATTCCAGATGACCATCTCTCGACTCATCCCCCTTTCCTCACGTTTCCCCAACCTCCTTCCCCCACGGTTTCGATTCCCCCTTCCCCCAACGATCTCGAACACATTCACTTCAACTTGTTTCCCCCAACGATTCCCCCTTCCCCCAACGATTCCCCCTTCCCCTAACGATTCCCCCTGAGCCACCAATTTCGAACCCCCCACGCCTGCCCCCCAAATTCGATTCCCCCTGCCACCCCTCGCTCGTCCAACTCCCCCCGTCAATTTCGTTTCCCCCTTCCCCTCGCTTGTCCAATTCCCGCCCAGTCAAGTTCGATTTCCCCCACCCCTCGCAATTCCAATTTCCCCTGTCAATTTGGATTCCCCCCATCCCGCAAAATCCAATCCCCCCAACGCAATTCCGTTTCCCCCAGTATCGCTAGTCGAATTTTTTAGGCACCTCAAAAATCAATTCCGTTTCCCCCAGTATCGCAGGTCGAATTCCCCCTCGACGAAACTTAGCCCAATTCCGTTCCTTACGCCTCTCGCCCTCCAATCACTTCCATCCCCCTTTCTTGACCATCACATTTCCATCCCGAGCCGCGTTGAATGTGTACCGCGGCTTTAAGCCGGCGCGGTCCACTGATGGGGAAGCAGATGGGGTGTTGGGGAACATGGTGAGTGGTTTGAGTGGGAGGGTTACCTGGTTACCCCATGTGACTCTTGAGGTGAATGGAAGGCCTGCTGGGAAGAAGGTCCACTGACTGGGAGGCAGGTGTGGTGGAGAACACAGTGACTATGCGGAGTTTGAGTTTTGAGTTGGCCCTGAAGACGCTGGAACAAGGGGGTTGCTGGAACAAGGAGGTTGCTGGAACAAGGGGGTTGCTGCCAATGGGTGAAGGGAAGAAACATTGGGCTGGTTGGGGAGAAAATACAGTGAATTTACGAAGTGTAAAAACACTCATAGATTTAACTCAAGGGCTGTGGTTATGAGAAGTTCCGAGTTGGGTGAAAGGGTGAGTTCTCTGAGTGTACGAATGAGTTTTAACTTTCTGGGAGAAGGCATCAACGACTCGTCTCTCCCTCGTTCTCCTTTCCCTCCCCCTCATCCCCTAGCCTTCCCCTCCCCACCTCGCCAACCCCCTCCATCAGGCTGTGAGCGTGGCAGGCTGTGAGCGTGGCAGGCTGTGAGCATGGCAGGCTGTGAGCATGGCAGGCTGTGAGCGTGGCAGGCTGTGAGCGTGGCAGGCTGTGAGCGTGGCAGGCTGTGAGCATGGCAGGCTGTGAGCATGGCAGGCTGTGAGCGTGGCAGGCTGTGAGCATGGCAGGCTGTGAGCATGGCAGGCTGTGAGCGTGGCAGGCTGTGAGTGTGGCAGGCTGTGAGCGTGGCAGGCTGTGAGCGTGGCAGGCTGTGAGCACGGCAGGCTGTGAGCATGGCAGGCTGTGAGCATGGCAGGCTGTGAGCGTGGCGCGGCACATATTCCTGGCCATCTGCCTCCCTTCCCCCACCTCCCACCACCTATTTTTCGCCATTTCCTGCCGTCCCCCCTCGATCAGTCTGTGAGCGTGGCGCGGCACATCTTCCTGGCCAACTGCGTAGCCGCCATCACGCGCCCCTCGCCCCTTTCCCAGTGCTCTCCCCGTACTCGCACGGGCTGGCAGCAGCCCTGTCAGAGCATGTGATCACCATGGTGCAGCTGGAGGTGGCTGCTGTACACGCGGACCTTGCCCCCCTGCCAGTGCTGTCACGCCCTCTCTTATCCCCCCGCCCCTCCTCAGAGCAAGTCACTGCTGTGGTGCAGCTGGAAATAGCTACCATCTTAGGCCACTGTCTGCCATGCAACTCCTCTCCTCTCTCCCTGTATCCCTCCTCCCATCAGGCTGTGAGCGTGGCACGGCACATATTCCTGGCCAACTGTCTGGCCACCATGCATGGGCCCCTTGCCCCTTTCCCAGTGCTCTCGCCGTACTCGCACGGGCTGGCAGCAGCCCTCTCAGAGCACGTCACCGCCATGGTGCAGCTGGAGGTGGCGGCCATTCTCGACCACTGCCTGCTCTCGCCGATCCTCCGCCTCATAGCGCAAGTCAACCAGGCCTCCCAGCAACAACAGCAGCAGCAGCAGGAGGCAGAGAAGGCTGGAGAATCACCGCCGCAGCTCCCTCCTCTTGCGCTTCTCCCAGAGGCGTCCCCCTCTGCAGTGGCAGAATCTCTTCAGCGGCTGTTTGCTCTCCTGGCGGGGGCCGAGGGGCGACTGCCTGAGTTTGAGGCGCTGGGCGTGGCGAAGCTGAGGGCGCAGGCCACTGGGCTGGTGGCGGGGGCCCTGGCGGATGCGTATGCGGCGGTTTATGAGGCGGTGTGCGATGAGAGGAACCAGTACCCTGATGCTGGGGGGTTGTTGAGACATACACCTGAGCACATGCGGACGATCCTGGGGATATGAGACGTGATTAGACTGAGGAGATTGGTTAGAGGTTTGATGGAAAGGAGCTGCCTGAGCTTGATGTAGTGGGAGGGACAAGCTGAGGGTGCAGGCGAATGGGCTGGTGCTGGGGGTACTGGCGGACGCGTATGCGACGGTTTATGAGGCAGTGTGCGATGAACGGAACCAGTACCCGATGTTGGAGGGATGCTGAGACAGACGCCCAAGTGGACGATCCTGGGGATGATGTGTTAGGCTTGATTTGAGATTGTCGACTGTAGATGCTTGATATGAGGTGTCTATTGCATAGGAGGCAAGTGTGACGGTGTTTTCTGGGGATCGTGTAGCTGAAAGTCTTCAGGACGGGTGTACAGGTGTTTCGTATGGCAGTACATAGCATGTTGAGTCGTGGATGTACTAGGTGCATGGGCTTGGTTGAGTTGACTTTCATAGTGGAGTAATGATGTGCATGTCAGATTTGTTACCAAGAGGCGGATATTACGGTAACGAGGACTACCTTCTGAAGTGGAGGCCGTGCACGGAGTGGTATGAGTGCGACAGTGCGACACCGAAGCCACAGGTGCTAGCGAATGACAGTCAACGAAGTCGCAGGTTGAGGAGCACAATTCTCAGCACCTGCTCTAGGTAGGTCAACCCTGGCGGCGGTCGCAAACATCGTTCGCTCGCTTGGCTTCGCCTGTCCCGTCAATCCCAAGGGGAAAATGCGCCAGCCAGAATTCGTGCGAGAGCTTCGCTTGCTGAATTCGCCTCGCCTGTGTCGCGTCAAGCTCGAGGATTCGCTCACAGTCTCCAACATACCACGCCACCCAAGGCGTGCGAAAACCTCCCATACGGACTGACCTGGGAAACCTAGAATCTGCCTCGTTGCTGAACTGGGCGAAGAAATCGAGGGAAATGAAGTCCAACCAACCAACCAATCACCTTCCCACCTGCACACCGCTGTACCCTTGAGAACTTCTCGGGCTCGCACAGACCTTCCTGCACCTGCCGCTCGGACGTCGCACTATTTCACTGACGAGCCATCATCGCCACGCCATCAACCTAGTTCGCCTCGTCTTGGAACTGCTGTCAATAATGGTGATGTGACGCGTCTACTTAGGTTCGCCGTGCTGCCTAGTACTCACTTTCGCCCATAGACGTCATCAGACGAACTACTATCGCTCTGTGGAACCGTGTAGGCCGTATTCGATGCTCTCCCGTGCGTTTAGACGAGTCTTGCGCCATATACACCGGTCTGGGCGGACTTCTTCGTTATTCTCTCTGCAGCAGTTAGAGCAGCAAGCACCCGTTTAGCGCTAGTGCTCGGCCTTGCTCTTGATAGTAATCGTCCTTTCGAGCTGAGCGGTTCTTTGTCACCCACCTTGCTTCCCCTCAACGAAACTGAAGAAATTTGTTAACTTTTAGTCGTCCGACTGAAGAAATGTCGCGAATCTCGGTCCTTAGATTAGTCGTCGGGCTCCTGCTTTTAGCAGTGGTATTCGAATCGGCTCCTGCGTTGGTATCTGGGGCGAAATCCAAGCTACACCCGTCGCAAGGTAGTGTAGCGCGTTTCTTAGGTATCTATGCTTGTCCTTGCAGCAGGTCCCGAACTCTTTGAAACGAAAGGGTGCGACTTGCTGTTCAGGTATCTAGACTGCTTTCGGAACCGAATCCATCCCAAAAATGTTTCCAGGGGCGTTGGCGTTCCGAAATACGAAGTCCCGAAATACCTGAAACGTATGTTGGTGCAGCTTGATGGTGGTATCTGTGTGTAATGAGTCGATTTTTGAGTCGACTCAAAAATCGACTCATTACACACGGAAATACGAAGTTCCGAAATACCTGAGACGTGAGTTGGTGCAGCTTGATGTTAAGGTGTCTAAACGAGCAGAAAGGGTCTCATGGTGGTTGAGTGCGTTGCGAGGCAGTTTGAGTTTGAGCTTGAGCTTGAGCTAGAGCTTAGAGAATGAACAGAGGTAACCATGAACACCTGGAGCTTAGAGAATGAACAGTAGGTTTTATTCAAACCAGGATGAACTCATTCCTGAGTTTGCAGGGTAGTTTTGAGAATTCTCACAAATACCCTGTAGAGAACCTTCTTCAGCTCCTGAAACGTAAGATAGTGCAGCTTATTGTTACAGTGCCTAAACGAGCAAAAAGGGTCTCCTAGCAGATGATTCCACACTTGATCACTTCCTATGGGTTATTTCGGTGGTAGCTTTACACGGCATACGTAGGCCGCGGTCCACTCTGTCACCACTATCACACGTTGATGCCACATTCGCTCCACTTCTCCTTTGTTTTCTTTTTATCCGCGCCGGCGCTAAGCTAACCATACTCGGCGACGGGGCCGCACTGTCACCATCATCACACTCGTTAATGCCACACTCACTCTGCTTCTCCCTAGTATTTTCTTTATCAGCGGCGGTGCTATTTATGTTGAGCAAGGGGTGCGGCCGCACTCTCACATCACTATCACACTTGTTAACGCCACATTCACTCTGCTTCTCATACATTCCCTTTCCCCTTATCAGCGGCGGTGCTGACTATACTCGGCAAGGGGTGGGGCCGCACTTTCACCACCATCACACTCGTTAACGCCACATTCATTTGCTTCTCATGCCGCTTTCCCCTTATCAGCGGCGGTGCTGACTATACCTGGCAAGGGGTGGGGCCGCACTTTCACCACCATCACACTCGTTAACGCCACATTCATTTGCTTCTCATGCCCCTTTCCCCTTATCAGCGGCGGTGCTGGCTATACTGGGCAAGGGGTGGGGCCGCACTTTCACCACCATCACACTCGTTAACGCCACATTCATTTGCTTCTCATGCCCCTTTCCCCTTATCAGCGGCGGTGCTGGCTGTACTGGGCAAGGGGTGGGGCCGCACTTTCACCAACTGCTCTCAAGCCAGCGGGCTGATCTGCGGCGGCAATGGCATGGTCATTCAGATGTGCGCACTCGTTAGTAGATGGCAATGGCATGGGTATTCAGATGTGAGCACTCGTTAGTAGATGGCAATGGCATGGATATTCAGAAGTGAGTACTCGTCAGTAGACTCTTCGTCCACCCAGTGGTTAACTCCGTAGTACCGGAGCCACGCCACAAAAAACGGCCATGTCTCCATAGCCACGCCATGACTCTTCGTCATTTAAATAGTACCAGCATGGCTGTTGAGTCATGGCGTGGCTATTGAGACATGGCCGTTTTTTCAAGCCCCTATCCGAGACTGGATGCAGGGGAGGCGCTTCAACTAGACTCTGTCCCAGCGCTCACTATCGCCCTCTCTTCCTGTTGCCCTCATGCGTGCACGAGCAGGTCGCTCAACAACTCTCAACTCGTTGGGACCATTCCATCAGTCATTGGCAATCTCTCTCTCCTCCAACACCTGTAATACGCCCACCTCCCCCCCGACCTATGATTGCGACATCCACTTTCCTTTGCACACACCCGTCGGAAACTCTCCCACCCCCCCCCCTTTGAGCGTGTTTCCGTCTTCCCCTCGCTCCTCTTTCTCTGCCAATCCAATCCCCCTCAAATTTCCCGTCTTTCCCCCCCCCCTCCTCCCCTCTCTCCCCCTCCTCCCCTCTCTCCCCCCTCCTCCCCTCTCTCCCCCCTCCTCCCCTCTCTCCTCCCTCCTTGCCCCCTTCCCTTCCCCTCCCCTTTTTCCACATTCCCCTCCCCAACCCGCCCCCCCTTCCCCCCTCCCAACCGCCCCCTCTCTCCCCGCTCACCAGCAATCTAGGCGTCAATCAGCTCACAGGGCCCATTCCAGAGTCTATAGGGAATCTCACCAACCTCTCCTACCTGTGAGTGCTGGGTTTAGGGTCGAGGGTGAACTCGCGTCGTACCTCAATGCCTCGCATTTAGGGTTCAATACCTCTCATTTCTGCCCTCCCGTACCTCTTAGTGTCACGCTCGCTCTTCTGAGGCGCCTCAAAAGAATGTTGCCCTTCCGAACCTCCTAGGGCAGCGCTCGCAGTATGGTACCTCTTTATGTCATCCCTCACCTATTTCAACCACCTTCACTTGTCGTCAACGCCTCCTAATTTCTCCCGCTCCCCTTTTTTCCCCTCCCTCTTTCACACCCTAATTCCTGTTCTCCTCCCGGTTCTCCCCCCCCCCCTGTTCCCTTCCCTGTTCTCTTCTCCCTCATCATTCTCCTTCGCTCCATTCGTCCCCATTCTCATCCCTGCTCTCCTCCCTCTTCTCCTCCCCGCTCTCCTCCAGAGGCCTCTTCAACAACCAGCTCACTGGCCCTATGCCTCCATCCCTTGCTGGCCTCTCCAAACTGCAAACCTTGTGAGCAGCAGCAACATCCAGTGTCTGTCCCTCTAGAACCATTTTTAGACCTCCTTCGTCACACCCCCTTTTCAGAATAAACCGTCAGCCTTCTTGTCTGGGCCTCAAAACCCCTTTGTACCCCACCCAACCCCCCATCACCGTCTCCCCCATCATACCCCACACGGTCTCCCCCATCATACCCCCATCATACCCCCCTCTTCCCGCCAGAATTCCCCCCTTCTTTCTAAACCCTGGTCTTCCTTTATCTGCTCATCCTCCCTCGCTCTCATCTCCTTTCCCCTCTTTCTCTAATCCCTCACTCGCCTCTCCCCCCGACCACAGAACTCTCTATGCCAACCATCTCAACCGTACCCTGCCTGATGACTCCGGCAACCTCATCCTCCTTTCCAATTCCTCCTCGCCCCCACCTTCGTTTCCCCCACCCCCCAAACCCCCTTTTCTCTCCCCCCCCTCGCAGAACGCTCTCTGACAACCGTCTCAACGGCTCCCTGCCTGATGCCCTCGGCAAGCTCACTGCACTCCTCCGACTGTGTGCCCCCATCCCTTCCCCCCCATCCCTTCCTTCCCCCCCATCCCTTCCACCCCATCCCTTCCCCCCATCCCTTCCCCCCCATCCCTTCCCCCCCATCCCTTCCCCCCCATCCCTTCCCCCCATCCCTTCCCCCCATCCCTTCCCTCCCATCCCTTCCCTCCCATCCCTTCCCCCCCATCCCTTCCCCCCCATCCCTTCCCTCCCATCCCTTCCCCCCCATCCCTTCCCCCCCATCCCTTCCCCCCCATCCCTTCCCTCCCATCCCTTCCCCCCCATCCCTTCCCTCCCATCCCTTCCCCCCCATCCCTTCCCTCCCATCCCTTCCCTCCCATCCCTTCCCTCCCATCCCTTCCCCCCCATCCCTTCCCTCCCATCCCTTCCCCCCCATCCCTTCCCTCCCATCCCTTCCCCCCCATCCCTTCCCTCCCATCCCTTCCCTCCCATCCCTTCCCTCCCATCCCTTCCCCCCCATCCCTTCCCTCCCATCCCTTCCCTCCCATCCCTTCCCCCCCATCCCTTCCCTCCCATCCCTTCCCTCCCATCCCTTCCCTCCCATCCCTTCCCCCCCATCCCTTCCCCCCCATCCCTCCCCCCCATCCCTTCCCTCCCATCCCTTCCCCCCCATCCATTCCCTCCCATCCCTTCCCTCCCATCCCTTCTCCTTTCACGTCCATTCCTTTCACGTCCATTCCTTTCAACATACCGTTTCCTTCTTTCTTGAGTGGCGGTCTTTCTATTCAACCTGCTCCTTCAATCATTCCAGTTCCTTAAGAACACCCAACACCCTTTCAAGTCATTATTTCGCTCACAGTTTTGCAGACAGACTATTTTTGAGGCGCCTCAAAAATAGGTTTGCAGGCAGACTGCTGAACCATCCACGTGTCAGCCAAAGTTCCTCATTCCTTGGTGTGCGCCCTCGCCCCTTCGTCCCAATGCCCCTTTCCTCTCAATCCTCTTCGCCCTCTCCTCTTCGCCCTCTCCTCTTCGCCCTCTCCCCTCTCCTTCAGAAATCTGGACAACAATTCACTCTCGGGCTCCCTTCCCGCAGCAATCTCTGCTCTGTCCCTCCTCACTTACCTGTATACTCCCTCCTCCTTTCATTCATGCATCAATGGCGCTTATATGATGCATGAATGGCGCTTATATGATGCATGAATGGCGCTTATATGATGCATGAATGGCGCTTATATGATGCATGAATGGCGCTTATCTGATGCATCATACCCACATCCCCTTGTCCATCATCTTCACCTCTCTTCCCCACTCTTCATCGCTCTCCCTGATGGCGCTAAGAGCCTGTCCTTTAGGTCCCTTACACCCCTTTTCACCCATCTTTACCGATCTGCACCTCTCTCCATCTCGCTCCGTCCTCTCTGACAGTGTCCCCAACGGCACTCTCCCTGATAGCATGGCTGACCCTGTTCTGCATGCCTTAGATTTCCTTAGGATTTCGCCCCTCTTCACCCCTCCCTCTCTCTCCCTCCCTCCCCCTCAGGAGCGTCTCTGACAATCTCCTCAACGGCACTCTACCTGATGGCATCAAGAATATTCTCTCACACTTCTTCACCCCTTTCTAACCCCCCTAACCCATCAGGAGCATCTCTGACAATCTCCTCAACGGCACACTACCTGACAGCATTGGCGCTCTTTCCGCGTGCCAGAATCTGTACGACCCCTCATCCTTCTTCCAGAGCTGGTGCAAATATTTCCTTCTTTGAATCTCTAGAGCCATTTGGGCTGATGCTTTGATGGTGGCAGTGAAAGCACTTGGGGGAAACGATTCGTTTGCATCAGTATCCTCCAGGTCCTCCAGGTCCAGGTCCTCCAGGTGCAGGTCCTCCCATCGTTTACATCAGTATCCTCGTTGCCCGCGTCCTCCAGGTCCTCCAGGTCCAGGTCCTCCAGGTGCAGGTCCTCCCATCGTTTACATCAGTATCCTGTTGCCCGCGTCCTCCAGGTCCTCCCATCTTACATCAGTATCCCGTTGCTTCATTCTTCCATTCTTGATTCGACTCAAGCTATTTCTTTCTGCGTGCTCCCACTCACATCATGCTCTCCGTCTTCTACTCTTTCTCCCTCCACCGTAGTGGTCTGGCCAACAACACTCTCTCGGGTTCGCTTCCTGCGTCCATTGGCAACCTCACAAACCTTGTCACACTGTGAGTCAAGTCTGATTCACCCGCAAGAAATCCGCGAGTCATTTGTGAGCCAACTGTGCGGCCCATCTGTGCCTAAGTGTGCGGCCCATCTGTGCCCAAGTGTGCGGCCCATCTGTGCCCAAGTGTGCAGCCCATCGGTGCCCAAGTGTGTGGCCCGTCTGTGCCCAAGTGTGCGGCCCATCTGTGCCCAAGTGTGCGGCCCATCTGTGCCCAAGTGTGCGGCTCTGCCATGATTGGAGGCAACCCAGCTTTTGAGGCGCGTCAAAAGTAGTCTCAGTTTTGAGGCGCCTCAAAAGCAATCATCTGTGCCCGAGTGTGCGGCTCAGCCATCACTTCACTGTGTTTCTTGTGAGCCAGTGATTGCTGGTGAGCTTTATATGTACGTTTAAGCGTGTGTAGATACCATGTGAGAAGCAATATTGTTGAGCCTCTCACCCACACACCCACACACCCCCCCCTCCCACCCTGGCCCTGCTGCACACCCCCCCCTCCCACCCTGCCCCTGCTTCACATTCCCTCCTCCCACCGCCAGGGGTCTGACCAACAACAGCCTCTCTGGTCGCATTCCCGCCTCCATCTCGTCCCTCGGGAAGCTCGAGAAGCTGTGCGTGCTGTGTGGCTTGCACCATGCACCATGCACCATGCACCTTGCACCCTGCATGCAGCCCCTGTGTGCCACCGACATGCACCCTCCACGTGCCAATGTGCGTCCCTGCAGCCATGTCCACCCGTCTCCACACATGCTGCATCCCCCTCTCCCCGTGGTATAAGAGGCGTGTTTTGAGACGGCTCAAAACACGTGCCATTGTGCGTCCCTTGCCCCCGCAGCAGCCATGTCCACCCTTCTCCAAACATACTGCGTCTCCCTCTCTCCCCTAACTCAGGAACTTGGGCTTTAATCTCCTCTCTGGCGCCTTGTCAAATGGCATCAGGCGCATGACTGCTTTGACCAGGATGTGAGTGCTGGGAAGGGAGATGGCTTTTGAGCCTACTACTACAAAGTTGCCACGTTACTGTGTCACTGTCACACACACAACACAGCTTGGGTCGACTCAAAATGGCATCAGGCACGTGATTGCTTCGACCAGAATGTGAGTGTTTTCGGAAGGAGGGGCGCGCAGTGAAGAAGGGAGGGGTGGGACGAGGTGGGGAGGGAGAAGACTGCCGTTGTGACTTGTGGTGGGTCAAGTCAAAGTCAAAGACGTCAGGCACATGACTTGCGTTGACCAGCATGCGAGAGTACTTTTGAGGCGCCTCAACTTGCATTGACCAGCATGCGAGAGCCCTCCCACCAGTCGTGCCCTTTCTTGCCCATCTTCCCCCATTCTTCTCCCATCCTCCCCTTCTTCTCCCATCCTCCCCTTCTCCCATCCAATCCACTCTTCAACTCCCCCCATCCCCTCCCCCACCCCAACCCCCCCCTCCCGCCCTTCCCCTCCCTGCGTCCCCCAGTCGCCTGCAGAACACGTCTCTCTCAGGGACCCTCCCACCCGGCATCGGGCTGCTAAGGCGACTCAAACAGATGTGAGAACGGGTGCAGTGGCAAGGGGATAGAGGATGGGGGGGGGACATGAGGCTGTCTGACTGTATCTTGGGCTTGTGAGGAGATCTGCCATCTTCAAGGCATTTGAGTCGACTCAAAAGTGGCAAGGGGGAAAGAGGAGGGGGGGGGGGGGGGGAGTTTACGAGGCTGTCTGAAAGTATCATGGGCTTGGGACGAGATCTGCCATCTTCAAGGCGCCTCAAGAACCCAACTCATAACATGGGTCAGAGTAAAACTTTTTTTTTTTTTTTTTTTTTTTTTTTTTACCATCTTGATGCTTAGAAGCTTTCACCGTTCTACTCCCCATGGACCATCTTCCCCCCTTCCCCTGCTCTCCACTCCGCTCTTTATCCCCATTCCTTGTAACTCCTCTTCTTCCGTCAGGCAATTCCAACCATACATCAGCATCAGTCAGGGGTGTGTTTTGAGGCGACTGAAAACACTCCTCTTCTTCCGTCAGGCAATTCCGGCCCTACATCAGCAACAGTCCTGCCAGTACTGCCTCACACGAAACTCGCCTCCCCTTCTCCCCCTCCCCCTTCCCCCTCCTATTCCCGTGCCCCCCTCTCTCCCCATTTTGCTCTTTGCTGATCCCCACAGCGATCTGAGTCACACCGGCATCACCAGCCCTCTCCCTGACTCCATGGGCCAGCTGGACAAGCTCACAGAGCTGTGAGTGCCACGTGTCACTCTCTCAACATGCCACGTGTATTTGCATGGCATGTGCCACGTGTCGCTTCTGCAAGACCAATACCATTTCACTTGCTTCCTCCTCTTGGGCCTCACTAGCCGATCGTTCCACCTGCTCCTCCCGACCTATTAGAATTCTAAAAAATTACTCCACTGTAGCTTGGGGCTCACTAGCCGATGGTCCATCTGCTTCTCCCCACCTATTTGGGTCCAGCCTTCTCTTAAGTAATCCTCTTTTCTCCCTGCGTTATTCCTCTTCCTCCTCTATTTCCCTCTTTCTTCCTCTCCTCCTTTCTTTTCTTCTCCCTCCCACCAGCCTCATGCATGGGTGTCAGCTCAACGGCTCTCTGCCAGCGCTACTTGGCAACCTCACTGCCCTTCAGACGCTGTATGCCTGGGGGACCGTTAGGGGTGCCTTTTCTAGTCGATTCAAAAGCCCTCCCACCAGCCTCATGCACGGGTGTCAGCTCAACGGCTCTCTGCCAGCGCTACTTGGCAACCTCACTGCCCTTCAGACACCGCATGTTCCTGGGAGTCTTGAAACTTGATGATGCAGTGTGTATGCGTTTTTTGTATGCTATATTTTGTGCGTGGGTACGCAAAAAATAGCCATATTGCATCCGGTTATCTGAGCAGCAACTCGCACCTGTTCTCTCCTCGCATGCAATGCAATACAGAACAGTGTATTGCACTTCCCTGCCCCACTCCGATTTCCCCCCTCCCCTGCTCCCCTACCACCCGATCGATCCCCACCAGCGATCTAGGCAGCAATAGTTTGTCAGGGGAAATAACCTCCTTTATTAGCAACCTCACACGCATTGAGACACTGTAAGCCCTGGGGCAGAGGTGGAGGGGGGGGTGTGGGGGGTGTGGGGGGACTGGGCAGGGGGGCAAATATGATTGACCTGGAAGTGGGACCACCAACTGTGAAGGGATTGAAGGGAATGCCTTTTTTCACCAGCAGGCTCGAGCGTCTGATGGTAGAGGGAGAGGGAGGGTAGTGAGAAGGAAGCTGTGGGGTGCATGACGCTCGGACAGTGGGAGGAGTGGGAAGGGGAGTTGTGGGGGAAACACATTGAGCGGCTGAAGGCACAGGCACAGGCACAAGCACATTCACGGGCACAAGCGCAGGCACAGACACAGGCACAAGCACAGGCACAGACACAGGAACAGGCAGAGGCAGAGGCAGAGGCAGAGGCACGGGCATGGGCACGGGCACAGGCACGGGCAGGGGCACGGGCACGGGCACGGGCACGGGCACGGGCACAGGCATGGACACGGGCAGGGGCACGGGCAGGGGCACGGGCACGGGCACGGGCACGGGCGCACCCATACATCATTATAAAATTCCATCCCTCCCCCCATCCGACCCCACACCCTCCAATCACCTCAGTGATCTCTCCACCAATCAGCTTGCAGGAATTGTCCCCGACACCATCAGCAGCATCCAGCGGCTGCGGCAACTGTAAGTGGCACGGCAGAGGGGTGTTCTATGCTGTCCCACCCACGCTGGCATGATGCATCAGGTTTGAGCGCTGCGAGCCTATCCCATTCCATGATCCATCCCATTCCGGACACCATCACCAGCATCCAGCGGCTGCAGCAACTGTAAGTGGCATGCCTGCTGTGACGTCATCACAACAGCAGTGACGTGACATAGGTTCCTCCATGTCCCACGCGTCTCCCCATATCCCCCCACGTATCCTTTCCCCTATCAGCAACCATTTCTCTTCCAACAGCCCATGCCTTCCGCCATCGCCCTCCTCCTCACCCACCTCATCCTTAGTTCCTCCACCTCCCTCCCTCCCATTCATCCCTCCGTCCTCTGCATCCTCCCTTTCCCCATCAACAGCAACCTCTCTTCCAACAGTCTCTCAGGCACCTTGCCTTCCGCCATCTCCCTCCTTACCAACCTCACATCCCTGTACGTCCCAACTCCCTACAACCCCCTCCCAACTTCCCTGCTCCATTGCTATCCCCTTTCCTGCATTTTCGTTGCTATCTCTCCTTGCCTTCTGCCATCGCCCTCCCCACCAACCACACGTCCTTGTAGGTTCCCTCCCCTTCTCGTCCCTGTAGGTTCCCTCCCCTTCCACAGCTGTGAGCTGCCCTCACAAAGTATCTCCGGCTCACGAACACCCCACATCCTACCCACTCCGCTCTGTCTCAGCAGAGACCCGAGCTACAACCAGCCAGCTCCTCAGCGGATCTGTTTCAGCATCCCGTTCTAGACTAAAGCATTTCACATCCCCCCCTCCTCCACCCCCTGCCCTCCTCCTCTTGACAGAGACCTGAGCTACAATAAGCAACTCGGTGGCTCCATTCCATCTGCACTGGGACAGCTGAGCAACCTCACTGTGCTGTAAGTTGATTTGGTTAGAAATGAGGCACTTTAGTCTTGCGGTGCTGTGAATGAAGCTGTTAATCCTGTGAGTGAAGCTGTTAGTAATGAGTTGAAATAACCTCTCGGTTAAGTGGAACTTCATATAGTGGAGCAAAATATCCTCACTCTGATGTGAGTGAAACTTCACTGTGCTGTGAGTGAGACTTCACTGTGCTGTGAGTGAGACTTCACTGTGCTGTGAGTGAAACTTCACTGTGCTGTGAGTGAGACTTCACTGTGCTGTGAGTGAGACTTCACTGTGCTGTGAGTGAGACTCACTGTGCTGTGAGTGAAACTTCACTGTGCTGTGAGTGAAACTTTTCGCCTTGCCTCTCCCCTATCTGTACTCCAGCTGAATCAATGGCACCAGCGCCACCTGCCCCCTCCCCTCAACGCCATGTGAGGTGCCTCAGTCGCCCACGTCTGCCTTCTGCCTCTCCCCTCCCCCCCCTCTCCCTTCTCTCAGTGCCATCAACGCCACCAGCATCACCTGTCCCCTCCCCTCAACGCCGTGTGAGGTGCCTCAGTCTCCCACCTCTGCCTTCTGCCAGGCCTGCTCCAATTTCTGCACCTCCTGCTCTTGTGAGTGTGCATGTGTGTGAGTGTGCACACATGTGAGTGTGCATGTGTGCAAGTGTGCACATGTGTGGGTGTGCATGTGTGTGAGTGTGCACATGTGTGAGTGTGCACACACGTGTGAATTGAATCAAGTGTTTGTGTCTACCCTCACACATCTGTGTGCGAGTGTGAGGTTCCTCAGTCACCCTCCTGCCCAAGTGATTGTGACGTCTCGTCCCCATCCCCCCATGCAGCAGCCAACGACTAGTGCTCGTCCTTTGCTTCCAACTCATGTGGCGAGGATGGCACGTGTGTGCCTCTCGCCGATGCCAGCACCCATCGCACTTGCTGAACTAGCCTTTCGTGTCCACCCTTCCGTTCCCCCATGCAGCAGCCAATGACTCGTGCTCGTCCTTCGCCTCCAACCCATGCACCGAGGATGGCACGTGTGTGTCCCTCGGCGCTGCTAACATCACCACTGCCAGCAGCAACTACACTTGTCTGTGTAACCCCGATGCTGATCTGGTTACCACAGCCATTGGCACACTCACATGCATCAAAAGTGAGTGAGTGGCATGTGTTTCCTCCTGCAAAGGTTTGTTTCCCCATGCTTGTTTTTTCAACTTTCAAGTTGCTACTGCACATGCCAGTGTAAGTAACCCCGCTGCTGTTCTGGTTACCAATTGCAACGGCATGCCCAAATCCGCTCACTGTAAGGGGGATCGCATAGAGCATGTCTCAGCGTGCCCCTAATATGGCCAGTCACATCACATCTACCATGCGCATGGGCTTAGGGCGCGGGCATGTGTGTCGGGCATGCGCATGTGCTTAGGGCATGTCTTACACACATCATCAGCTTACACCCGACGTTCATGCATCCTCCTCCCCTCGAATCAATGCTAATCCGTACTTTCCCTCCTCTCTCCCTCCAATCCTCATAGCTAACCCGTGCACCGCCTACCCTTCCAATCAACCCCTTCTCTCACCAGCAGACTATCCTGCACAATCCCTTCCCCCCTCCCCCGGTCATCTCACCCCAGCCGACCCCTGCATCAGCAACCCTCTCAATCCCTTCCGATCGCTGCCAACCCCCGTTCTCTCTTTCCTTCCACCCTCGAATCCCAGCTGAACCCTGCACCACCTACCCTTCCAATCAACCCCTCCTTTCACCATCCCTTCCCCCATCCCCCCAATCCTCCCACCTGACCCCTGCACCAGCTACCCGTCCAACCCCCTTTAACCCTCTTTCAACCCCTGCTCCCTTCCCACTATCCCCACCCTCACAGCTGATCCCTGCACCAGCTACCCGTCCAACCCCTGCGGTGCCGGCGACTGCATCCCCTCACCACCTGCTCCCGCTGCTGCTCCCAAGAAGGGCCGTCCCCCTCTCAATACTCCCTACTCGTGCCGCTGCTCTGCTGGCGCCACTGCTGGGTTGGGGGCCAATGGGCTGCCGACATGTGTCTCTCCTCCCCCACCGTCTCAGGAGCCGTCAAATGCAGTCGGTGAGTACGTGTGTGTGTGTGCTGCTGAGTGGCATGTGCTGGTGTGATAGAACTGACTTTTTTAGACTTTCCCTTCCCTTTCCCTTCCCTTTCCCTTCCCTTCCCTTTCCCTTCTCGTTCCCCCACTAAAAGCAATGTCAACAGGCGCAATTTTTGGCATTGCGGTGGCCTCTTGTGCTGTGCTTCTCTGCTGCCGCTCCCTGGTCTTCTTGTCCTTGTGTTCGATCCCCCCTTCTCGTCCCGTCCGTTCCCTTCCCTCCCCCCTTCGTCTACCAACAGCAATGTCCACAGGAGCTATCATCGGCATCGCAGTGGCAGCGTTCGCTGTGCTTGTCTGCTGCATCACCCTCGTCTTCCTCTGCTGGCGATGGCGCAGCACCAGCCAGAGCAGACAACTGGCAAACCAAGGTATGTGCTGGCCAACACAAGTCAACAGCTGACCATTGAAGGTTCCCTTGTCTGCTGCATCACCCTCGTCCTCCTCTGCCGGCGATGGCGCAGCACCAGCCAGAGCAGACAGCTCGCCAACCAAGGAATGCACGAGTCAACCCAAGTCAATGCATCTCAACAATAGTCAACTCAAGTCAATAGCTGACCGCTGAAGATACCCTTGTCTACTGCGTCACCCTCCCCCTCCTCTACTGGCGATGGCGACACACCAGCCGGAGCAGACAGCTGGCCAACCAAGGTATGTGCGAGTCAACGCAAGTCAACAAGGGTATGCACAAAGCTCAAGTCAACAGCTGGTCAACAAGTATCAGGGCAGGTCACAACATGGCTGGAATGAGTTCTCTCATCATGACTCAGGAGGTAGTATACAGATTTTTAATTTTAAAAAACCTGCAAAAAAAATAAAAAATTGGGGCGATTTCTCAAAAACACTTTACACCACTAGAGAGTTTAACTGCTCCCCTCTCCCATGCCTCGCCTCCCTGCTGCACCGTCATCATCGTTCCAACAGGTTGGCAGGCAGAAGCCGATCGAAGCTACCGTAAAGACGACTTCTTCTAAGAAACTCTTACGCACGACTGCTATAAGGCGGTTCTGCTATACGGCCCTACTGCCATAAGGTGCTACTGCTATAAGGCGCTAATGCTATAAGGATGTCATACAGATATTGTCGTGGCACAGCTGCTGTGTCGTACACGGTCGGTAGGTGTCCCACCAACCGGCTGGCTTGATGCTCCCAACACCTTCAGGAGGAGACCGTCGGCCTACCAAGACTGTTTCCAATTCGAGGGTGCTTGAGTCGAGGGTGTGTTATGAAGTGCCCACGTCTACTGTACGCCTAGTGCGGTGCGTGGCGTTGGAAAGCGGTCTTTGAGCTGCACCGCTTTGGATTGTGCAGCACCGCGGCAAACCGCAGAATGGACAGGAAATGCTCTCTTGGGGCATGCCCTGAGATTTTTCCTAATTGGGCATTAGAGTGGGGAAGGGGGAAAGGAAGGTTTCTATTTGGCTGGTGAGGCTCTAGCTTTTGTGTGCCCCTCTAAATGGCTCATTCAAACACTTGGTTTGCGCTAGTACAAAGCAGATATCGCATCTGCTTTCATGGGCTGAAATCAGGATTTCTTTTTGTCTGGTTAAATGCTGCGATTTCTTTGGCTTGCACAGTACATGTAGAAGAAATAACATGTTTATTGCGTAGTGATTTCCACATGGCTCGTTCAACGACTACATAAGGATAGGTTACTGTATATTGAAGCTCATTATAGTGCACATTCAGCATGTTCCACGAATGCTCTTACCACTGCTGGCTACCAAACCTTACTGTTCAGATCCTGAGGGTAACTCCAAACACAAATAACACCGAAGTATACGTTCTAATGCGGTCCTTGCCATCCTTGTTCCAGCAGCTGCCTGCTTTCGAGGCGCATGAAAAACATGATACCGTAGAATATCTGCTTCAACTCAAAGGCCATCGCACTCGGATGCTGTCACGTAGCCACCTTGTTCCGACAGTGGTATCAATTACGGTCTTGCATATTCACCTATCATCTTTGTCTCATTCATCCCAGGGCCATCGCACTCTGATGCTGTTGTAGAGAGTGGAGGTGTACTCAACGGCCATGTTCCAGCTGTTATCAATAATGGTTTAGCATATTCACCTACAATCTTCATTCTTCTAACTCAAGGCCATCGCACTCTGATGCTGTCGTACAGAGCAATATACTCCTTAGCCGCCTTGTTCCAGCTGTTGTCGATGCTCATCACTGTAGACGTCAGCTGCTGCCACCACTCAGGGCCTGACATGTGGCAGAAAGCGAGCAGACGTGTTGTGTGAGGATGTGGCAAAGGTTCGGGGCATCGAATAGATGGCTAGGGAGTAGGGTATAGGGTAATGTATCAAAACACAAAGGGATAGAGGGCAACGCAAAGGGATAGAGGGCAACGCAAAGGGATAGAGGGCAATGAAACACGAGGGGACAGGGCAATGAGCCAACCATTCTTGTGTGCACACACGTGTGTGAGTTAGCGCGCGCACACACACAGACGTGCGTTCGTACTTGCGTCTAAGGCATACACGGGGTGGAGGAAGGGGAGAGAAGAGAAGCACCACTGAGGATGGGGAGGGGGGGGGGGAGGCGCCGAGAGAGCGCAACTCACGGTCTTTGTAGTATTTCACGGCACGGGAAAGGGCTGAATCAAGCGCTTGCTCATTGATTCCATCAAACACAAATCTGCAGCCACAGGAGAGAAGGAGAGAGAGGGGTGAGGGACAGAGGAAGTGGCACGAGGGGCTGAATCAAGCGCTTGCTCATTGTTTCCATCAACACGAACCTGGCCAAGGAGGGAAGGGAAGATAGGGGTAAAGGATAGAGGAAGAGGCATGAAGGGCTGAGACAAGCACTTGCTCATTGATTCCATAAAAAAACAAAATCACCAGTGGACAGGTGATGGGAGGGGTGAGGAAGATGGGGAGATGAGGGGCGCACACACATAGGGAGACAAGGCAGAGGGAAAAGCAGGGAGATGAAGCAGAGGGGAGAATGGAAAGGCCGGGGAAGGAGAAAGGAGAGAGAAGAGAGCGAGGAGCAAAAAGAGAGATGGGCGACGAGTAAAGACACTAGCCAACCACAGGGACAGCCCCATGCACCCGTTGGCCTTTCTCAGCATTTGCTCCACATTGTTCACATGAAAGACTGAGCTGGCCAGGTCCCCTGTCTGCCTCCTTAGGAAGCGACTCCACAGGAGCGCTCAAGGCACGTCTTGGGACATAGTATCCAGTGAGCGCAACATCCAGTATCAAGGATACTATGTCTCAAGAGTTGCATTCCAAAGGAACGTTCAAGGCACATGGCACAACGCATCCACATCACTCACCCGTTGCCCTTCTCAGTGTTTCCCCCATCGTCCACATCAAAGACTGTGTCTGCCAGCCCCCCTGTCCGCCTCACCACAGGCACCTGATGATGTGAAGAGATGGGGGAAAGAAGGGTGGTGAAGGAGGTTTAACTAGAACCGTATGTTCTTCCAACCATACTGCTGCCCGTTCTACCGTGGCGTCTATTTTTTAGGCGCCTCAAAAATAGACTCCTCACGAAAGGGTGATGAGGGAAGATTAACGGGACCCGAATATTCTTCCAGCAACACTGCTACCCGTTATACCCTGGCAGGCTATAATCTAACACCCTTATCACACCATCCCCCTAACCCATGGACTGCCAACCCTCAGTATACTCGCTGCGCCATAGCGCATGCCAGCTGTCATGAATCATGAGTCACCAGAAACAAAATGGATGGCAACAGAGCCACCTGCTGGCACCCTCATCAGTAGTCCCCTATCCCCTCCATCCCATCCCTTCCCTCCTCCATCCCGCATTCACTTCACTGTGCCATAGCGCATGCCAATCAACTCACAACATGGACGGTAGAAGTACCACTAACTGTTTCCATACACTACCACCACGCCATTCCCCATCTTCCCCACCTCCCAACAAGGACCCGCCGTGCCATAGCACATGCGAACCAATCTGAGTCAGCCCGCACAGCTCAAACATGGACGGCACAAGGACCACATTGTCGCACACTCATCACTGCTTTCCACACTTCCCTCTCCTCCCCCCCCAAACCTCCCCTCCCCCAATGACTCACTATGCCATAGCGCATGCAGATCATCTGGGTGAGTCGGAACGGCTCGAACATGGAGGGCACGAGCACCAAATCCTTACGCACTCATTTTAGTGCCCCGCTTAGTCCTGCCCTCCTTCCACCACTCAAACCACCCCCCCCCCACCACCCCCCCCCCCCCCCCTTCCCCCCCTTACCCCCATGACTCACCGTGCCATAGCGCATGCCAATCATCTGGGTGAGTCCGCACGGCTCGAACATGGAGGGCACGAGCACCATGTCCGCCGCCGCAAAGAGCTGGTGAGCCAGGCTCTCACTGTCAGCCACACTAAACGCACAGGGTTAGCTGCTTGTAACGAGGATGCTTAAAAAAAAATCGCTTGTGGCAAAAGATAAGAGAGCAAGAGAAGAAAAACGAGGAGATCAACCAGGCTTTCACTGTCAGTCAGCCACAGTACAAATAGCTGCGTGTAACAATAATGTGTCTTCTAGTGAGGAAATCTTTTATAACTGTAGGGGTACATGGCAAGGAAACGCGGTAGGTAGCACACGGCAATAAAAGTGTGGTGGGGTATGCTATGATATGATATGATATGGTGATAATGCCGCAAGTTACCTGTATGTGAGGACGAGACGAACGCTACCGCCCTCTTGAAACTGCATCCAACCATCACCAGAGAAGAAGAAACAGAGACAAGATGAGGGACACCAGAACACGAGAGGCAGAGGTGCAAGCAACAATACAGGAACAGCGTACTCAACATAAGAAACGCATCCATTTTTCCTGATCTCCGGCTCAAAGGCTTTTAGACCATTGCAACTCACACATTTTCACCTCCAGGCTCCAGTCAACTAAATGGCATTCACTCACCTCCACTCCACCTCACCTCCCCTCACCACCACGCCACCTCACACCTGCTCGCTCACCCCCTCAGCGATCTTCACAAACTCTCCAGGCACTCGCCTCAAGCACAGAGCGCTTCCCCTCTCTTCCTCCCTCCAACATTCTCACACCCGCTCGCTCGCCTCCTCAGCGATCTTAACAAAGTCTCCCTGCACTCCCCTTAAGCACAGAGTGCTTCCCCTCTCTCTTCCCCTCTCTTCTGCTCTCTTCCCCTCTCTTCCCCCCCACTCTTCCCCTCTCTTCCCCTCTCTTCCCCCCCCTCTCTTCCCCCTCCACCCCTCATCCTCACACCCGCTCACCTCCTCAGCGATCTTCACAAAGTCTCCCTGCACCCGACCATCGGGTGATGAGCCGAGAAGAACGAACTGTCCTCCCTGTTGGTTGGGGTGCCCACGGAGAGGCGAGAGAAGAGAGTGGGGGGGGGAAGAGGGTGGGTGGGTGGGTGGTGGGTGGGGTGTGGGGGAGTCTAGGGGAAGTGGGGAGGAAGAGATGGATGATGATGACGAAGGCCTACAGACCAATGGAAAAAAGAGTCCATAAGGTGGTGGGAATGCTGCGATTATGGAAGAGAAGGCCTGCTAAACTCTACATCTGCTTTTGAGTCAACTCAAAAGAAGGTGGTGGGAAGGGAAGGCTGCAATGATTGAAAAGAAGGCCTGCCAAAAATGAAATCTAGGTATGTGGTAGACGAGTCAAACCCTTGTGACATGGCATAAAAAATAGGGCATTCACTTGATTCTCTACTCACATATTCGTGGGTCACATATAATATATATTTACACAAGGCAAGCCACACACACATCCTCATGTGCTCGTGCAAACAAGAAAGGCTTACATATTCGTGGGTCTGGTAGATGGCATGGCGGATCAGGTGGATGCCCTTTGAACAAAGAGCCTCACATGCTAACATCCTCACATGCTCATGCAAACAAGGGAAGCTTACATATTCGTGGGTCTGGTAGATGGCATGGCGAATCAGGTGGATGCCCTTTTGGGCCACGAGGCGAGTCACACACACCACCAGAGGGGACCTCTCCCCCCTGATCAGCTGAGTCAGCTCTGAGTCAGCCACAGGCCCTGCTGACGCAGCAGCTGCAAGCTTCTCTGCAGCTTCAGGTGTTATTTCAGGTGTGAGGCCCAGGCCCCGCTGCACGTAGTGCTTGCAGAGCATCTTGCCGGCCAAACTGGTGGCTGCTGGAGCGGGGAGGAGGGAGGAGAGGAGGAAAGGTGAAAAGAGAGATAGTCGACTCATAAGTCACTTCAGCTCAAAACGCGCTGCACATAGGGCTTGCACAGCATCTTGCCAGCCAGGCTGGCGGCTGCAGGAGGGAGGGAGGAAGGGGGGGGGAGAGGGGAAGAGGAGGCAAGGTAAAGAGAGAGATTCTTTACAGGCCCAAGCCGCGGTGCACGTAGTGCTTGCAGAGTATCTGGCCTGCCAGGCTGGAGGCTGGAGAGGGGGAGAGGTTGGGAGAGAGGGGACAAGGAAAACAGAAAATTGGTGAACAGGCAGGAAAATTGGTTTGACTCACCACAATGGTGACATGAGACGTACCTGAGAAATGAACGAGCAAGGCATTGGTTTGAATCAGGCAAGGAAAAAGAGACGTACGTGAGAAGTGAGCAGGCAGATGGGGGTCGGTCTGTGGGTCCCACATCTCAGTGTCAATCCCGTTGAGGACACCAAAGTACCTGCCAGCCAGGGTGTGAGCAGAAATGCACAACAAAACACAACAAAAACGC